TCCCCGCACCGTAAAGCTGCCACCCCCCGACATAAAATTGCCCAAACGAGGGACCCGGAAAAGCAGGCCAGGCGCCTACCTGCTCCCGCCCAGCCCTCCCCCAGCCTACGCTCACCAGCAACGGTGGGGGGGATGGACCGGGCGCAAAAGGCACTCTTCCCCACATCTTGATCACTTCTCCGAGGGGCTGGAAACCCTCGTCACAGCCCCGCTTCACCAAGAGCGACATGGCAAAATAGCCGGCCTGGAACCACTCGGCCATCTCTTGGGTGGTGAAGGGTCCTGGCGGGAAGAGAGAGAGAGAGAGAGAGAGAGAGGAAGGGGCCCGTGAGTGAGCCCCAGAGCCAGCCCTTTCCAGCCCCCAGGGCTCAGGGGGAGGGGAGGGGGGCGCACCTTGGATCTCCCCTTGGGGGTCCTTGTAGAACCACTTCATGGCTGCTTCGTGGGAGAGGGGCAGGGCGGCCGCCGTGTTGCGGTGCTCGGGCATGGCCTGGCCGAAGTGCTCCTCCTCCAGGGAGCTGTCCTGCAGGGAGGCCACCATCTTCTCTGCTTCCTGGAGGCAGAAGGGGACGAGGGGCAGGGTGAGGGTCCCAGAGGCCACCGCTGCCTCTGGGGACGAAGCCCGCAAAGACAAGGGCTGGGGGAGGCCCAAGGGGAGAGGCATTTAGGTAGTCCTCGATTTACGACCACTTACGGCCAGTGTCGCAAAAGGGGACTTATGACCTGGATCTTAAGCCCCGGCAGTCACCCCGCGGGGGCCCCGCCCTCTGGGCGACAATCCCATCTAGGGCTGTTTGCACCGTCCGGCCTTCGCATGGCTGCGTTTCTATTATTATGGTTTTGCAGGGCAACCAGCACTCGCTTAATGGCCGCAGGGGTGGGAAAAAAAATTGTAAAAGGAAGCGGGAGGAAGAGGCCACACTCCGCCCTCCCCATGTACCCGGCAGTCTGCCCGTTCCACTCGTTAAGTTGTAACGGTCATAAACCAGGTGCTGCCTGAGGAGGAGATGGTCCAACAAGCATTTATAAAGCTTCACCTCCATCTGCCTCAGGCCTATTACGGGTAAGTCCTGGACTTAGAACAGTTCATTCAGTGACCGTTCAGAGTTAGAACGGCGCCGGAAAAAGTGACGTGTCCCCATTTTTCACACTTGCGACCGTTGCCGGTGTCTCCATGTGTCATGGGATCAAAATCCGGATGTTAGCAAGCGACTCATATTTATGATGGTTGCGGTTTCCCGGAGGGGGGGGGTCGCTTGACACCCCCACTTTTGCGAACCTCCTGACAAGCCAAGTCAATGGGGAATCCAGATTCACTTAACGACCATGTTACTAACTGAAGAGTGATTCAGTCAACAAATGTGGCGAGAGAAGCCATAAAATGGGAGAAACCCCACTTAACAAATCCCTCACTTAGTAACCTCAATTTTGGCCTCAATTATGGTCGTTGTAGTGAGGACTCCCTGCAATTGAGGCGAGGGGTCTGGCCGGGGTGCCCCAATCCAAAGCAGAACAGGCGACCCACCAGAGAAGTGGATCCTGGCTACCTCCACCCCTTAAGGCCTTATTTTATTATTTTTGTTATTAACTTATTTGATTACTTTTAAATTTAATTCATATTTTGATGCTGCCTGTCTCCCTTGCAAGGTGACTTAGAGGAAAGGGGGGGGGTCTTAAAATTACTTGGGCCCCCCTGGCATCACGAACAGCCCCAGCAACCCCCCCCCCCCCTTGCAGGATGCCATGCCAAGGCCCCTCCCTCCTGGCCTAGGAGAGGAGGCGAGAGAGCGCCCTCTGCTGGCAAATCCCATGGCCACCCTTGGAGAGCATCCTTACCTGCTGCAGGTGCTTCATCCCGTCCTCATCCTCGTTGTCGCCCACTGTGAACTCGGCAGCAGGAGCAGCAGGCGGGGCCACGGGGAGGGGAGAGAGGGCGGCAGGGGTGGGCTGGGCTGGGCAGCCGAGAGGGCCCGGGTCCCCTGGGGAGGCGCAGAGCGAGAGGGTTTCAGAGCCCAGGTGCCCTCTGCGTTGGGCTCCAGAGCCCCCCCCCTTCCGCCCAACCTGTACCAGCCCCTCCCACGGGCAGGAGATGCAACGCCTGCTCAGCCCCCCTCGCCCCGTTTGCCAGGGCCACCTACCATCCAGGGCCTCTGCCTCCGAGTTGCCGCAGGGCAGCAGCGCCAGCTTCTCTGCTTTGGAAGAGTTCCCCGGCACGAGGGTTTCACAGTTGCTGGCGGCGGCGTTGGTGGTGGCGGCAAGAGGGACGAAGGGAGGGCTGGGCTGCCAGGGGGTGCCCGGGGGAGCCGGCAGCTTCCTTTCCTCTGGGCCAGGCCGGGAGTCCTTTTGATCTGGGGGGGGGGAGGGAAGGCCTCAGCTTCCAAACCCCAGGGGCTGCCCTCTGCCCCCAGCCCCCGCCAGCCCTCTCCTTGCCCTCACCTCTCTCTGCCCTCTCCACAGCGGTGGGGCTGATGGGCACCTCCCTGCTGGCCCTGGGGTTGCCCTCCGTGGCCTCTGGGGGCTGCTCCTCCTGCTCCTCCTCCTCCTCTTGCTCCTCCGGCAGCGGCTGGAAACTCAGCTCCTGCTCCTCCGACAACAGCTCTTTGGGGCTCTTCTGCAGAAGGGGGGCAAGGAGATCCTCAGAGGGATGTCACACCACAAGCTCGGCCTGCCTGCTTCACAAGCCCCCCCCCCCCCAAGCTACCCAACCATAAGCTAAATCCACACAAGACCAAGTACTCAAGGCATTGCCTGTGTGTCAAGAACAGGGGTGAAATGCTACTGGTTCGAACTGGTTCACCCAAACAAGTAGTACATAAATGCTATTGGTTCACCCGAACAAGTAGTTAAAAAATGCTTCCGGTTCGTCTGAACAAGTAGTCAAAAAATGCTACCGGTTCGCCTGAACAAGTAGTAAAAAAGTGCTACCGGTTCGCCTGAACAAGTAGTAAAAAAATGCTACCGGTTCGCCTGAACAAGTAGTAAAAAAATGCTACCAGTTCGCCTGAACAAGTAGTAAAAAAATGCTACCGGTTCGTCTGAACAAGTAGTCAAAAATGCTACCGGTTCGCCTGAACAAGTAGTAAAAAAGTGCTACCGGTTCGCCTGAACAAGTAGTAAAAAAATGCTACCAGTTCGCCTGAACAAGTAGTAAAAAAATGCTACCGGTTCGCCTGAACAAGTAATTAAAAAATGCAACCGGTTCGCCTGAACAAGTAGTTAAAAAATGCTACCGGTTCGCCTGAACAAGTAGTTAAAAAATGCTACCGGTTTCTCTGAACAAGTAGTAAAAAAATGCTACCAGTTCGCCTGAACAAGTAATCAAAAAATGCTACCGGTTTGCCTGAACAAGTAGTTAAAAAATGCAACCGGTTCGCCTGAACAAGTAGTTAAAAAATGCTACCGGTTCGTCTGAACAAGTAATCAAAAAATGCTACCGCTTCGCCTGAACAAGTAGTTAAAAAATGCTACCGGTTTCTCTGAACAAGTAGTAAAAAAATGCTACCAGTTCGCCTGAACAAGTAATCAAAAAATGCTACCGGTTTGCCTGAACAAGTAGTTAAAAAATGCAACCGGTTCGCCTGAACAAGTAGTTAAAAAATGCTA